CATTAAAGCAGACAAAAAAAAAAGTATTAAGACAGGACAAAAAAAAAAAAATCCTAGGACAAAACTTCATCAAAAACATCCTGGTCACACCAGATTGAGTATTAGTATCAGAAATTGAGAAAGGTAAGTTTATGACTAATTCTTCCACTGATTGATAAGGTAACTTGGGTTAAGCTACTTAATCTTCTCTTCTTTTTTTCCAAAGAGCAAGAATGCCAAATATAACTTTAATATATACTAGCAAACAAAAATAACTGAAAAGGGTCTACAATTCTAGCTGAAGTACAATTGTTTAGCCATCTTGGATCATTGAGTTTAAAAATTCCTATCATGGGTTTGACTTCAGAAGAATTGTTATTCCATTAGGAAATATTTTTCATGTATGTAAGTATTATTAAAAAATTGTTTTTTGTGGCTATTATTTGATTTTTTTTTAATGTGTCTTAATTTATTTAGCTAAACTCTGGTTGCTGGAATTAAGGGGAAGGAAGGAGTGGCTGTCCATCATTTCAAATGTAGTAGGTGTTGCTTCAAACAAGAGAATTTGATGCATTTATGGTGTTTAGGGGAAGGGGAATGGGAAGCACTTCAGTCAGAGCCCCACCCAGAAAACCGGAGGTCAAAGGAGAGAAGGGACACCTAGAATAGTAGAAAAGGGGAGAAGAGATGTCATGGTTGAGCAGGCACTGGGTTAGCAGTGGAAAGAAACCTGATACAAACAGTCCACAGAAGAGACAGAAACCACTTAGAAGTTTTTTGGATCCAATCTGTGGAAGTTTTAAAAGATGTCTGAAAATTCCTCAATATACCACCCATCAAAAGGTAGAGTCTGATTCTCCTCCCCTTGATTCTGAGTTGGTCTTAGTGATTCACCCCTACCAAATAGAATATGGAGGAGGTGACACTGCCTGGCATTCAAGGCTAGGTAATAAGTTTCTGCTTCTTTTTCCTCTAAGACACACACTCTGGGAGTTTTCTGTCACCATACAGGAGAAGTCTAGTTATCTTGAGGTGGTCACTTGGAGCGAGCATAGTGAGAACAGAGAGACCCAAGAATCACCTCCCCCAGGTGTGTTCAACATGATAAGGACCCAGCCATCATTGGACTGTATGACACCCCAGAGAAGAAGCCATTCCCTCCCCAGGGCCAAGTCAACCCCAGATTCATGAGCAAAACAAAAGAGCTTTATAGTTCAAAGCACTGTTTAAGTATGGCTTCATACACAGCAAAGGATAGCAATGAGACATCATCTAATTAAACTTCTAGAAGCACATGGAACATGAGCTCACGAGAACCTGGGCTGGACTCCCAATCTCTGGATATTGCAGGAATCAGCAACCAGCTGTCAGGTAACAGGAACTGCAGGTTTTCAAAGAACTCCCATGAGCAACTAAAGCCTGAAACTTCTTCCAGACCTACGACAATCTTAGGAAGAAATAAAAATAGAGGATGGGTCATCAGGACTCAGAGTGCAAATGACTATTTTAAACAAAAAAGCAGCATGACATGTAGTTCAAGTCCTAGTTCAACTCTTGCCTGGCTGTGTGAGTTCTGATGTGTGCCTCCTTCCACTGTGATTTAGTTCATCACATATAAAGCAGGGAGAATTGTGTGTTAGGAATTATTATTGTAGTCGGCTTGGCCCTTGGGAAATAGAGTGCTACCATGTGATTCCACCATTACACTCCATTCAATCATATTTTGCAATTTTATTTTTGCAGAAACTTTTTTTAAAAAAATGAAAAACAACAAAGAGCAAAACATGTGAAGTTACAGCAAAAGAAGTCACAGGAGCTGATCTCATGTAAATATGACGTTAATTAAAACAGATGGGTCTGCAGCATAAACAAAATAACTGCAGGGGGCTGGTTTTTGTTCCGTTTCTTAATATAGTAACTCAGTTCCTATCCTGTTAGCACTCTTTCCTTATCAAACATTGAACTGGGGTATAAGGAAGTTTAAACTACCAGTGATTGGAGAGCTGTTTTCTAAACACTTGGAACAGATGGCTTCTTGCCTGAAAAGCATGCTTCCTTTCGGGGAATAGAGTGTTGAACTTGGTTATTTCAGGAAAATGTTGTGTTCCAGCTCATTTATCGACAGCAGGTATGGCCACTCTGAAGAACACTTTCCCCTGAGCTCTGTGCCTTCTGTTGAGTTTGCCTAGTGGTCAAAGATCTCATTGGAATGACAGCTGCCTGCTGCTGGCTTCTTAGTCACTGCATTGAGCAAAAGCCTCCTTGTGCCTCCTAAGACGAATTCTAACTGCTTCAGAAAAAAGAGCAGTAATCAGGCAGAAGATTCCTTTAAATGAATGTCACTTAGGAATGTGCAATTAATAGTTTACCAACTACTAGCAGAGAAGAAGTGAGTTTAACAAAAGTCCTTTTGACGAATTTGGCAGGGGGTGGGTGGGGGGTGCCTAGGGTTTGCCCTAGAATTATATTTTGCACTTAGCTGTCATATCTTTTTAGTGTCTTTTAATCTTGTACAGTTCCTTTGCCTTTTATTGACTTTTTAAAATGTACCATCTATTTTGTAGAAAGTTCTGCAATGTTCATCTGATGTTTCCTCACAATTATGGGTTATGGTACACATTTGAGTCAGGAATACTAATGACAGGCTAGAGCTAGATTTTCTAAAACGATTTCCATGCTGTGCAAGGAAGTTGGCCCAGGATTCTGTGTGTGAAAATTTTCTACTGACTTTCAATTTGATACAGCTCCACATCTGCCGTCAAGAATCTTAATTTGAACTGGGTGACCTGATTTTTTTTATGACTCTCAGAATCACATTTTAAAGTAAAAATGGACAGAGGCACCCGTGAATTTGGGGGCTTTCTTGGGGTGAGATGAGCTACTTCAGATCTGCGTGAATGGTCTGAGGAAAGTTAAGAGAGGGCAGGAACTGTTTCTTGTAAGCTGACAGTTCAAGAGAGTGAGTCCAAGATAATCACATAATCCATTTATAACCGCCCAAGTTAACAAGCTCTCACCTTCTCCAAATAGGCCCCTTATTTACAAATAGTCACTTCTGGGCAAAAGTGGGCTCTCGTCCATGTGACTAGAGTCACATGCAGTGAGTCTCATGGCCTTATTTTCCCACAATACCACAAAGATCAATTGACATTAGGAGCACGCTTAGAATTCACAATCTATTATTCATGTATAATATGCACTTTGAACATAATTTTTTTCTCTTACTAGTTTTTATCTTAAACTACCTCCCCGCCCCCCAGTAACTTGCAGCCCTGTGTTTGCCCAATGCAATCCCAGCCCGCATCAGTGGAAAAGAAACCCCAGAACAAAGCGGCAGAGCCAGAGCTTCCATACTCAGGTCAGACCACATGTAGAGAGTGGTTCCAAGCCCCACCCCGAGGGACATCCATAAATGGAATTATTTATTATAGGAGAGAATTAATAGATTGCTAAAAGATTCAAAATCAAGTTGTAAGAATGGCTTTTCAGGCTTCCTCAGTCCAACCCTGGCTTAAGCCCATCTTGGGTGCTCAGCTCCCTTCCCCCGTGACTGGAACTCTGTCACGAGGGAAGGGAGCTGACAGGTCACCCAGTTCAACCTTGTGAGGACTTAGCCAAGGACAAGGTCTTTTCTCCCTGCTAACATCCTGGATAGAGATAGGCTGCCAGACAGGATATTGGAGGATTCCCCTCAAATGAGATGCAGGATGATTATCTGATGGGAGGAATTTTATTCTACCTTGAGCTATCTCTGTGCCCCTCAAGTCCCACATTCTGCCATAAGAATGAACTGCCTTCCAGATCAGGACAACCAGAGTCTGACAACCAGGCCTGTTGCCTGTAAGGTGACAGGTTCAGCCCAGGTCCAGCCCTTCCATCTGTTTCCATCCAGTTGAGAAAACCACCTTTGACTGGCCACATGCTCAGATACACATTATTTTCTGTTACTATATCAAAATACCTGAGACTAGGTGATTCATTAAAAATAGATCCTTTAGCTCACAGTTCAGAAGGCCAGGAAGTCCAAGAGCATGGAACTGCCATCTGGTCAGCACTTGGTAAGGGTCTTCTTACTGCATCATAATATGGCAGAGGGAGGCATCACATAGTGAGATGGAGCAAGAGTGCCAGGGAGAGCTCACTTTTATAAAACAGCACTTCTGCGTAGCCCATTAGCCACTGATCTGTGAATGGTCTCACCACCCAAGGGTCTCACCGATTAATATCATTAACATATGGATTTGTAGATTCAGTTTCCAATACATGAACTTGGGGAACAAATTCAAATCATAGCACACATCATTGTAGGGAATAGCAAACAGTAGACCCAGAAGGGCAGAAGAGCTACCCTTAAACCTATCATGAAGATGGTGGATTAGACACGCATGTGAGGCCCCAAGAGTTATGGATTGGGAGGTTATAAGGGGTACCAGGATGGACTTCAGTAACCTATAAGGAAGAATTACTAACAACTTTCTGCTTACCTTTGCTGCTGTCTCCAGTGACTAGCACACATAATGACCCAAACTATTCCTTAAACTAAGAGTAGTTGAGGCAGAGACGTCTAAAAATGTAATATGTACCCTTAAGAAGGTAGCAGTTTCCCTTTGCATCAGTGACATTCACAGAGATGAAAAGTGCTTTGGCATGCTTTAAGGGAGTAGGGCATACTAGGTAACTGAGATTCTGTGGAGTTTAATCATCATAGTGAAAATTTAGCCTGAATATTTTTCCCAAAGTAATTTCTCTTTAATTTGCCTCATTTGAAATTTGAAGGAGAAATATTTCCCAGTTAGCAACAAAGGAGCCAATTTCATTTTCTGTGTTTGTCTCTGCATTTAGGGGATTTACCCAAAGTCTTATCAGATGAGAGAACCATATACTAAGAATCTTTCTTTCTAGTGAGACCATTGAGAAGTTCCAAATAACTGATCGTTTCATCAGGCCATTCTCTAAGAATCCAGCAAGAAGTTTCATTGCAAGAAAAAGTTTTCATCTCAAGGAAAAATAGCTGCCAATAATTCTTGTCAAAATAATTTTTTGATTTTATTTAACAAGATGACTTCAAATGTACACATTTGGTTTTTGAACACAGTGTAAGATATTTTCATCATCATTTCAATCTAACAATCACTAAATAAGTCTGAAAATGAATAATAGATTAGTTTTACCCAAGAATGTGATGGTGTTTCGGCTGATCTGGTGCATCTGAGGTATTAATGGATTTCCCACATGCATGGAAGCCCATCGGGTGGGCACCAGTGAGTAGGTCTTCCCACCACAATCAGGCCAGTTGTTCACAAAACAACAAAGTTAGTGCTTGTGTGTGTGTGAGAAACATGCTGATCACAACAGTTATTCCTTCATGGAGTTATTAACTTATGAGTACATTTCCACATGCAGAAACACCATTTTTACTGCTATAGTACAGTATAATCTACTTTCCTTCCATTTAATGGGTGAAGTCAAACGTCCTTTTTTAGGGGCAAGAAAATGCACAGAGACACAGTTCCTTCCTTTACCACATGAGCTTACAGAACCGCAAAGGGCTAAGTATAATCTACGGACTCTGACAAAGATCTACAATCCTTAAAAAGAGTGATGTCCTTCTGGGTCACAGATAAATGACAAATAGTTTTGCCAGAACATGCCTGGGCTTTGTATTCTGTTGATGAATTCAATAATAAATAATATATAAAAATTCTTTATATGAATATATCTTTTACTTGAAGACTATAAATTAGAAAGAATATGAAAACATTTAGTAACAGTTTCGAAAACAAGTTTGTGTCATTAATTTTCCAGACCAACAATGATACACTGGAAAAGAATCTGGCCCTTTGAGGCCAACTCTTGAGGAATCACTGAATTAATATTTTTGACATTTAGAGAGCAGTTGGTCCAATGACAAAGTTAGCCAATCGGGTCTCTGAATTGGTGGATCTGTGAAGGCAAAGGGTACATTTAGATGGAGCACATCTGTTTAGGTGGAATCCAATTTAGTTACACCTCCATTCACTGAGTAGCAATCATGTTCCCTCACAGCTGGACAGTATCTGCCTCTCATGATAAAAATGACAATGTCAGCTTATGAAATGGCATGGCAATTTATTGGTTAGTTATTTTCTGGAACATCGACACTTTGGTTAAAACTGTACTATTTACAAATCAGTGAATACACAAAGAGGCTCACAGCATACCTACAAGACACAAATATACAAAGTTATGGCAAGCTTAGGATAAGACTCCTTAAAATAACAGGACATTTAGATGCAAAAAAAATGAGAGATGGAAATACAGGCCATATATGCTAAGTGAGCCATATTCTGGGACAGGGTACTATTTGAAATGCACAGAAGAATATTCAGGAGGGAATCACAAACATAAAAATAAAATATTTGGTATTCTACACTATATTACAAAAATAAATATATCAGTCAATAAATAGTAGGAAGCCTAGAAACTTTTACATGACTATTTTGATTGTGGGCTGCCCAAGTGCCTCTGCTATAATTTTTCTCAGGAGTTTAGGCTTTTCAACTTCAGTGCTCATAATTCTGCCATAAAATTTGTTTTGTTTTGTTGTTCTAAGGAAGAGAAATAAAAGACTGGTGTGGGCTGTAGCAAAAGCTCTATGAGCAAAGAAAACATTAGAAAGCTCTAAGGATCTGACAATTGTATGGCTTTGTAGTAATACAGCAGAGTTGCAGGTGTGCTATTAGAAGCAGGGAGAATCCCCTTTTTATGTATTTTGACTTTTCACTTTTTAATAGAAGAAATCAAATAATAATAATCACACAACTAGCAACACTTGAATATCCAATATGTGACATTCTGTCTTCCTGTCTTACAAGTAAGAACATCATAGAAACACAGGTTTATATCTAGACTGCAGTAAATGGAGAAACGTTTGGGATATGCAGCCTGATTACAGACAGCCTAGGTTTTCACCTCTCTTCTACAGCAGAGTGATTACAAGTGCTCAAGACAAGGATTCTCTAGAAACTTGGTAGAGCCAGCAGTGGGCACCCAGGATGAAGGGGTTGTCACCTGGTCAGCTTTCTAATATTGGCATGCTAATGTCAGTGGATTGCTGGGGCTGCCACACACACAGCTCCCTAGAGCTGACTGTTATAGATTCAGGAAGTTTGCAAGCCAAATGGGATCACATTGGTAGCTTAAAGTAGGCCATGGTGAGAGTATTCACACTATTGAGATTTGTGAATCAGGACTGTTTCCCACCCTCGCATGCTGGTTGTAAAGGATTTACCAGTACACCACTCTCTTATGTGTTTTAGACATAAAAATAAATAAAACTTACCAAAAAACTATCCTATATAGTTTAAGAGGTTTTACTGTTTATCTCTTACAGTGTCCTTAGGAGAAGTACCTTGGAGTATTGAGACTACGTGGCGTACCATGGAGTATGAAAAATGCACCATCTTCCACCAAGGATGCTGAGCGAGGCTACCCAAAGCCACCTGCCCATGCACAGCATACACACATGTGCCCACATGTCACATGGAAGTCAGACCAGAAATGAGTGCTTCTGAGTACTATGGTTACCTCAAATTGTCAATTCCCATTGATAGTCAAAATATCACTCTTCCAGGGGCAAAAAATTCCCGAGGATTTGCCCTCTGGGAACCAATGAACAATAAATGTATACAGTTGAGCTGCAACTTGGGAAAAGGATCTTCAAAACAGCTTTCCTGACCTCTTTTTCTAGGGCAACATGAGTTTATGACCTCAAGAGGTTTGCAAAAAAGAAGCTAATAGTTTTCCAGGGCTAAAAATAAAAAGCGCGAGATTTCCTAATGAAGCGTTCTGCAGGGTGTGGCAACATCCTGGAACCACACTCTCTATTTTAGTGTAAATGGTCTGTGTCCTCTGCCTGGAGACATCAGGATGGCGTGGGACCTGCTGGACTCTGGTTCCTCCTGCACAGAGCATGGTTCTGCTCGGGGGCACTAAAACGGCAGCCAGAATCTCAATGTCCTTCCAACCTAGGAGGAATTCCATCTAGGAGGAATTCCATCTAGGCGGAATTAGCTGCCTGCCAGATCATTCCTGTTGGGAACACTTCCCAGCCCCTAAGTCCTGGCCAGTTCCAAAATGGGAAGAAGGCAGAATGGGAAAGCTGCAAGGTGTTTACCATGAGCAAATCTGATCTCAAAATTCAAGCTAAGTTGTAAGTCATTTGCTCATGTGCCTATTCCCACATTTCAATGTATTCATTTGGATTCTGGTGTTCTTTTCCTTGTACTTAAGATTTCTTTATGAATAAAATATGTAATGAAGGATATTATTAAAATAAAATCGAATTAAATATCATGGGGAAATCTAGACATTAGATCACTAACTCCTTTCTCCCTGAGAGCAAATCTGTTGGCGACCTCCCTCCGGCTCACAGCAGGCCAATGGAGACAGAGGACACAGGATAATTGGGGAAAGAGAGAAAGAAGGAAAAGAGAGAAAGCAGAGGTGCAAAGGCAAGGGAGAAAGTTTATGAAGCACAGACAAGTATTTTAAGAAGTGAAGAATCTGACAAAAAGTTCCCTTCTGTTTCCCTCCTCTGGCTCTTTGATCATTTTTATTTCATCTAAAAGATTTGATTCTCCAATTAGAACTGCTTTGGATTTTACAAACTCATCTGAGGACAGCATCTATATCCTTCCCACCTCTCCCTCTCCCAACTGCTCTACACCCTGCAGCCAGAAAGACCTATCATCTGAGTTCATCCCCAAGTCCCCTCTGTCTTCAATTCTTGACCAGGCGCTACCCTTTAGAGCACTTTAGTCCCTATGGGGCTCCTTCTTTGCTATTGTGCTGTTGTACCTCTGGGGCTACTGCCTCCCGGAGCTGTTTGGTTTCTGTTATCTTAAAAACCTTCCTCTCGAGCATGCAGCCTCCTTCACCAGGCCTGCTGCTCTGAGCCATGGCAGAACTCAACTGACAACAGCTACACTTTCCAGAGTATTTCAGACACTCTGAAGATAACAGGATATCTTCAGATATCTTCCTACAATGGCTAATACTTCCTACGACTATTAAATTCCTGATGTGAATTTAATAGTGACACAGACCCTATTCAGAGAAGAGGTGACTGAGAACGTAACATTGGCTTTTCATACATATATATTTCAGTGAGTCATGCATGTATATGAGTATTATCTTCCTCTAGAGCCAAAGATTTTCCTAATTTCATGTATGTCCACATATACTTATAGACATATTTTCTGGTGCTGTATTTTGCTGGGGGTTGCTCTTTCCATATTGATTTGGAGAATAAGTAGTGTGACTTGCCATTCCTATTAAAGATGGGACTGCCTGGAAATGGCAAGTTCAGACAAAAACAGTTTGCAAGGGACTAGATTGTTAAGCAAAATATGTGTTTCCTACAATAAACCAATCTGTCCATTTCCCTAAGGCAGCAAGCCTCTGTTATCTGTACACCCTCATTAAATAGTCTCATTAAATAAAACACAAAATATACACATTTACAGTTATTAAATAAGCCACAGGACTCCTATCTACAGCCACATTCAGAGACCGCCATGCCTTCATATTTAAACTTGTAGGTGACGACACCTTTGTCTAAGTAGAGGATCGAGATGGGCTCGAGCTTGGTTGGCACACAGCAGGCTTTGGAAGCTTTCTGGGAATTCTTGAGGTGGACCAAGGCTTGGATAATGGCATGCTTTGTGGGCGTGAGATGCTCTGCCAGGGGGTAATTACAAACACCACGGCATTCATAGGCTTCGTATCCTGGGGGAGCGATGATCCAGGAGTCCCAGCCAATCTCCTTGAAGTCGATGTACAGCGGGGTCCTCTTGCAGTAGTTTCCTTTGGCGTTCCTCCTGATTCGGGCCGTGGAGTCATAGATGATGTTCGACCTCATCTGTAGCAAAGCCTCTTCCCCAGGTCCACTGGAAAAACCATCCAGGTCCAGGTTATCCAGCTCCGGGATTTGCTCATGGGCGATCATTTCATTCAATTCCTCCTTCTGCTCCTTGTCATTGCTTTGGTCATCAGAATACACAACAAGCAAAGGGTCATGCTTATTCTGGGCACTGGTGTCTATTTCCAGTTGTCCCCTTCCGGCATCTTCGATCTGGTCATGTCTGCTCTCAATGTGGACCTCCAGCTGGTGGGTGGACGAGCCTGACTTTTGCCAATGTCTGATGGCATCCGTGACGTCGAACGTCTCCCACTCACTGTTGGTTCCATAGATCTCCCCTGACACTAGGACTAGCATGTTTCTTTCAGCCTCGTTGTCCCCTTCACTGTCTAGTACTTCAAAAATGGTAATTTTCCGGTCCACTCCATCATATATCATGCGATCTCTTTGCACCAGCGTGTACAACCTGAGTTCAGCCATGATCACTTCTTCATGGTGAGGGATGGACACATTGAAGAGGAGAGGGTATTTTCGGAGTCCATTAAAACTAGCTGGTTGAGAAAACAGATCTGAAAAAAAAGGGGGGGGGGAGATTTGCAAAAAATCAGACTTGCTGTATGTTTTATAGAAAAACAGATGTTTATTTACGTCAGAAGAAGGCCTGCTCATGCAGGAAGTTTGATGTAGAGTAAATAAGCGGAAAAGATCAATGAAAACAAAAACCATGTTAATATTCTGTGACACAGAAAATACCAAAAGGTCAATGACAGAATGCTAAGCTGAGTTGAGAATTCAGAACTAACACAGAAAAATGACCGCCAAATGGACGGGAGAACTCTCACTCAGCCTTCCTTGAGTAACTTACCCTCCTTTGAGTTATAGATCTGGAAGGGACCTTGGAGATGGCGTGGAAGAGCACTCTATTTTTCTAACCAGTAAAGAGTCATTAAATGGGGTGTGTGGTGATTGTTCTTTTCTTGTAGTTTCTCATGGATAATGACTTCATGGCTTTTCCTGTTTGTGTTTATCATGGGTGGAGATCCCCACAGAGTTGGAGATCTGGCCTTCCAGTTGGGCACTGATCTTCCTGAAAGATCTTCATGTAGACTGTGGCTCATGGGCCAAATTGAGCCTGCTACTTGTTTTGTTTTTTTTTTAAATAAAGCTTTATTGGAGCACAGCCTCACCCATTTATTTCTCCATTGTCTATGGTTGAGGGCAGAGTTAGGTAGTCTCATCAGAGAACATATGACCTGCAAAGTCTAAAATATTGACTATCTCTGGACCTTTGCAGAAAAAAGTTTGTTGGCCTTGGCTCTAGTCAACAAAGCCTATCAGGGTCAATAGCAACAGCCATTAATCAGGGACCACGGCAGTTGATTTTGTGATCCTTTATAAGGAGGGGTAGGAGAAAATGAATACTGAGGTCAGATGGATTGCCTTAGTCTTGTACCTCCATCACCTTGCAAGGAGTTCAGCATGCATACAAATCACTCAAGAACCTTTATGAAACACTTCTTAAAAGTTCCTTTAGTCATGGAAGCACACCTCCAAACTATCATGTGGACTTTCTATCTGAGATTTTTACAGTGAGCCCAAAGCTCCTGCATACTTGACTTAGGCAATATATATCTATAAAGAATCCCTGAGGACATTTGTCATCAGACTGTCCAAGAATTCCACAACACCAAGGACCACCAATTGAGGGGTTCTCTATCATCTTTAGCAACATTCCCCAATTATATATCCAGCTCATGATTTCAGTGGGATCCCTACCAGATTATGTTATTTTCATACTTTTATTCAACTTTATCTAATTAATTTATACTTAATGTCTCTTAAAAGACCAGAAAGGCTTATGGTTGAGGTGATAATTATTTGGAATTTTACAAAATCTACATTAATAAAAATATGTAATGATTTTTCATGTATTTCACAGTTTCACAATTCTGAGTACCACCCAAAATAACCTTCCACACTGCTAGTGGGAAATACTGACCTATGCAATGAATTTCAACTCACTGGGATGACTGTCAAGACCTGCTTTAACTGGGTCTTGGTCTTTCAATCCAGCCACAGTTCCTATTCATCCTCTTCAGTGCACAGAATTGCAATTGCTCTATTAATATTTTTTTGGACAATTGATATCTTCATGTCCTAAAAAACACCTCCCTTTCCCCCTGTATTTTGCACATTTAAATATGCTCTTTTTATCTTCAGAAGGCCCTCTTGCCTCACCTTCCCCTATCCATCTCTGGCCTCTCCTCTATGAGACCCTCCTTACAACAAGTCCCTATCTGAAAGCTTCCGTTATGAGTCACTTGAGCACTTGCTCTCTCTGTCTCCCCTCTGACTTTTGTCATTTACTCTGTTTCTGTTGTAATTTTTATGAATGAATCTTCACAACTAGATTGCCAACATCCTTGGGGCAGTTACTATGACTCAAACTCCCTATTACGTCTGTATTTTACCATGATGCCTTAAACAGAGACAGTGTCTTAAGATGTTAATTATTTGTTGATTCTGGGCATCAGGCCAACTGAGTTAAGGGCATGACATATATCTATAACATATCAGGTTTGGGGGTAAGAAACAGAAGTAACTTGGGAATTGTCTCTCTAGTCTAAAAATTAGGGAGACTACTTCCTCTGGACAGGGAACACAAAAAGACCAAAAATGGGAGAGGAGACTGGTCTCTCCACGAGAAAAGTGCAAAGTAAAAGTTCTCTGTAGTGGCAGAGAGAGATTGCAAAGGCAAATAAGGAAAAATTTGCATAATGGATATTATAAAAAAATGGTGCTAATGGATAGACTCACTGTATTTGTCATGGTGATGCTTTCAGTGGATGCTTACATATGTGCAAACCTATATGATTATATACCTTAAATAAATGCAGATATCTGTATGTCTATTATAAGCCAATAAAATTTATTTTTTAAATTAACTCACTGAAGTTCTTTTCATATGCAGATGAAGTGAGTGATAGATGAAGGAGTTACATTTTAAAGTAAGAGAACTCATGTTCTTCACAAATTTCACATGCCAAGGGCTTTGCAAGTGTGACCTTAAGTAGTTCTTACAATGTCCCCATAATTCAAGTAGGATCCTCTGTCTATTTTGCACCAAAAGAGACTAGATCTCAATGCAGAGAACTGACTTCCCTAGACGATGCAAGGAGGGAGGAATGGAGCTAGGGAACCGAAGGCATAGTTTTCCCATTTTGGATATGGCACTTGCTTTTCCCACGTGAGTTAAGTTTGGAGATTTTGGGTCTGCACTGAGCAGAACTGAAGGACCAGATGGAAGATCATAGCAGCCAACAGAGTGAGATCAGTGAGGGGACACTTGTCTTCAGACTGCATTTCCTCCCACAGACTGGCAGAGGGAGGTTTAGCGGCTGAGTGCCCACGGAGACACGTGCTCCTGCCTACACTGATCTTCAGCAATAACAAACTGGGTAGACCCCACATTCTGACCTGGCTTCCCCAAATCCTCCAAAGAGAAGTGAGAATGGAAAGTGTTCTTGCTTTCCCAGGGCTTGCAGACACTTCTCCACCCACACCCTGAGCCAGACACTTGGGACAAGTGCTGAGAAGCCTTAGGAAGCATTCCCACAGTAGGAGGTTGCTCAGTTTCCAATTCAAACTCTCCTCCAAAAGGAATCTTTAAGCTTGGCTTTTCTACTAGGAATATGTTACAAAATATACATTTTAGCAGTCAATTTTAAAGGCAAATAATATCTCAAGGCATAAGATATACCTGGTCAGCATACATTCCAATGCCTACAATTTTAAGCAATGAATTCATAACAATTAAAGTTTTTCCAGCCCTTCATAGGAAACCAAAGTGCTTATCTGTAGCAACACATGATTCCCTCAACTGTGTTATGTTGGTATTACGGCTCCCATTTTATGGATAAGGAATTTGAGGCTTGGATAGAGTAAATTAATTATCCATAAATACCCAAGTCAACCAACTCTCAAAATTTCATATCTTGAGTTCTTTCTTGCCACTGTCTTTTGGCTTTCAGAACATCTGGACAACATCAATCAAAACCTCTTTTATGTCTGCTTAATGATTGTAAAAGCATGATTGGAAAATACTAAAGAATTCATCTTCTTCAATCCATAGCTTCTATCATAGATAATTTTCCTCTACCGTACTAAATAAAGGATTAACTTGCTAGCTCTCTAGATCTAGTTACTGAATTTAAAGATGTGAGAGGAGAAAACACACTTCTCAGCAATAATTTAAAGCTTGTACATTCCTCTTCATAAAGATACAGAAATGACAAGCTGGATCATTAATTGCATACTTCCTATAAACAGTGCTCCAAGGATGTACATAACATACCAAACACAGTTCAACTTCAGGAAGCATCTGCACAATCCAAGTCTCCATCCTATTCTAAGATTTCTTAAATAAGGTAACAAAATAGAAGCATCCAAAGTTTGAGCAAAACAAACAAAAAAAAACATAACTTTCCAGGCTTTTATGTTTTTTTACTATTTCCATTCTAAGTAAAAACCAAAATGGAAATTGAGGCCCATCTGGAAAGTGGCAAAAATATAAGCAGCCCAGCAATAGTTTTGTGTTACTTGTTGCCTAAATTGAAACTTTTTAAAGATCTTAGGATATCGTAACTATAGACATTCTGCGGCTTTTTATTAAAAGGTGTTTTTCTGTGCCTTTTGGGGGGTTCCAAAACAACCATATAAATGGTATAGATCAAAATTGGCACTGTTTGGGGTTATCGGTATATATGTACCCCCAAATGGATGTATTCATCCTTATCCATATTCCCATGAATTGAAAATTACCTTCTTGGAAAAAGCCCAAGCCAAAGTTCATCAGTGAAAATGCAGACTTACCTTCATTCTTGAAACTCCTGATGATGTTGGCAGAGGGCATGGAGGTCCGGTCTGTGGCGAATTTGTTGTAGAGTTCCAGCATATACTCTGGTGGGTCCACCTTGGCTGAGTCCTGCATAGGGATGTCCGACAGGTTCAACGTCTTGAGGAACTCGTCCTTCATGCTCTGCAGCAGTGTGTTAAAGTCAACACCATCTTGCTCTGAGAAGACATCATCAAAGAAGGGCATATCTTCTTCCAGAGGCTCAAGGCCCATGATGGGACTGCCAGAAACGGAGTGAGCCACCAGGCAGAAGACAGCGCACAGCCGCAGGACCAGAGAATCCATGACTCCGCTCAAGCCTCCAGGCCAACCCAGGAAAGTCTAGCTCTCCTGGGCTCTAAGTGGCAGTTTTATCTAGCAGAGCGTAAATGTCTCATGTCACTGCAGACAAGTTTGGAAGCTCTTCCTCTCTCTCCCCCTCCCCCTTTCATTCTTCCTCTCCCCCCAAAAGTCAGGTTGCAGTAATTGGCTAACAAAATCCCCTAGAGGGGCCTAGCCTTTCTTATCTCCTTAGTGTAAACTTGTGCACTAGATTTTGTTTCTATCTTGCAATCCCTTTTTCTTTTAATGAGCATTTTGTAAACATTTCCACATTCTGACACTGGTTGAGAGATAGGACAATTTTCTCGTTGCAAAGGCTCTTGCTTCCTTTCAACAGAAATGCCTATATTCTGCTTTTATGGCATTCAGTGTCACACATGCATACAATAGATATTAAGAACCAACCTGATATACATCAACGGTGATACATCTTTGTGCAAGTGATTGGGCTTACAGTGTCAAATAGACATTTCTGAAGACGAACCAAATAGTTAACTTCAAGTTAGATAAATCAATATAAATGAATTTAAATAAACTTTGGAACATACATTTTTAGAAATAGGAAAGTATGAACTTCATGGTCAATGGCCTTTTTTCCTACAGATTCCATCAGGCTAAAATGACTTTTGAAAAATAGAGCAAGTGCTTAATTATAATGGCTACTAAAATTTATTAAGTGCTTCCCACAAATAGGCATTGTGCTGAGTGCCTCATATATACCATCTAGTATACTTCCTGTAGTGGTCCTATTATTATCCCCACTGTGTGTGGAGGTATAAACATGTATATTTATACACTGAGGTTCCATAGCTTGCCAGAAGTCACAAAGCTACAAAGTGAGAAAGCCACAGGTTAAACTCGGGAAGTCTGGTTCTTATGAAAGAGAACACAATCTTACTTTAAAACCACTCTTCCATTAGAGTAGGGCATAAGTCCCAATGTTGAAAAGCCACCCAGTCCCCAGAACAGCCCTGCACTGGTCAGGCAAAACCACCAGGTGACAAGTAGCAATTTACAGCTGGAGGTAGACCTCAGTTCCTTTGTTTTTGCAAGCAACTATTATATGTCAAAAATCTCTTGCCAAATTTGTCTCTAAGACTATATCAAATCAGTCATCAGAAAAAAAAATGAAAGTTCCAGCAAAATTTTGTCAGGCATTACTAGGCAGATGAAATATGCCAAATGCCTTGGTCTAAAGGGAAAAAAAATGGCAGACATGATTGTGTCCAGTTTAGGAAACACAAATCAGGCTTATCATGCTTTCCACCCAAATGGCTGCAGTAGCAGCCATAGAGCAGTCAGGGTGACCCTGTGGACAACCGCAGGGAATGATTTTCTCACTGGGGCAGAGGTATTGGTATCTCTCTGGTTTGTTTAGTGCACTCCCTGTGCAACTATTCAGGCAGCCCAAAGCTGCTACTTTCAGAGGACAGGATCTGATATTTGTTAAACTGGAATACATTAGTTTGAAAGCTATATTTTCCTGCATTTACCCCGAGCAGTTACCCAGAATATTTTGAATTTTCTCTTTTCACCAGACTTCCCAAGGTTTCTAGTCATCTTCCAAATATTTCTCCTCCTGTAAAATTTTACAATGATTTTTTTTAGTCACTGTAGAAAGAATTACATTTTGTTTAGTAGCTGTTAAATGCCCATTTGTCTAGCAGTTGATGATTTTCATTTAATGTTCTATTTTGATTAAAGTTCCTGCTCTTATAGTAAAAAAGAAAGAAAGAAAGAAAGAAAGAAAGAAAGAAAGAAAGAAAGAAAGAAAGAAAGAAAGAAAGAAAGAAAGAAATTGTAGACTGAATATATCCCGAACAGGTGCCCAAGTGAGTTGAATCCTAAAGCCATAGCCTGTTCCATGGGTGGGACATTTTAATGTGAGGTTTCTGACAGCATACCAGCAAGGCATGCTGATCATGTCCTGATCAAACCCAGCACTGGTTTATCGCCACACACACAGATGTCAACGCACACTCCATAACTCCGAATGGCAGGCATGTGCGTGAAACTGCCACAGGACAACAGAGCAGGTGGTGGTACGTACAGCCCCCTGGCCGTGCTGGTTTCAAAGGTCAAGAGGAGAGGTATGTGTCCCACATTGCAGAGTTCTGGTCCTTTGCATTCTCAGGCAGGAAAATAATGTAGCAGTTTTCACTGACATTTCTGTACTTGGTGTTAGGGAAATTATAGAGTTAAATATGTGGACCATTTCTTCACCAAAATGTTTATATTTTTAGCTGATTAAAAGAGAAAATAGGAAAATGACCATAACCACATCTTACTACAGCATTCTGAAATGCATGTTTAGTAAAAGTCCTTATACCACACACTTGTGCAGGACTTGGGGGTGGGGGGCTGGGCTTTGTTCAGGAAGGCACCAGCTTCCTCCCTCATCTAGACCTGGGACACCTTACGTTTTGGCTGCAGAGTTTCTTTTATTCTCCAAAATCTTTCCCTGATGACTCTTTTCTGATGTTAAAACATCCAACTACCTTTTCCCTATCTTGATTTTTCTGGACACAATGTATTCTATTATTTAGCAACAGGTCTTGTTATTTTTGATGCTACTCATTGGAAATGTGTTACAATTCATTCAGAGTAGACTGAAGGTCATTATACTGCTGAGCCAAAGATGTAGAAGGTAGCTCTAGACATTTTAAGAGAACCCATACATGTGGAAAGTAAAATACTAATGATATATTGTGTTTTTCTATCTCACTGAAAAATAGTTTACAAAGTATGGGGCCAGTTTTTAAGACTAGTTCCATAACTGTGCGAACTTGAAGGATCTAACATTGAACTTCATTGGATCCATGGAGAGATGGATCAGTGATCAAATCCAGCCAAGGTTAGAACCGCTGGGCTGCCTCCTTATGAATTCTGCTGTTCTATCTGAATAATGGGCAGAACCTGACTAGATGTTATCAGAAGACTTCTCCTGGCTGACAAGAGGCCAGTGAACTTAGCAGGTCTTTGGACATGACTCTAGGTTCTTGAAATGCTCTCCACCTTGGATCCCACTTCAGAAGCATTATATTATTATTGTTACCTACTCAAAAATTTTCAAGACTTTGAGGTGCATCTCAAACCACATGTGAAAATAAAATATTGAATAAGTTATATGACATGTTTGCCTATGTTAACATATACAAGTTGAGACATTTTATGCTTTCTTTTATGACTTGCTCTTTTTTTTTGTACTCAACAGAATGTTTTTCAATCTACACATGCTAACGTGTATAGCTATAGTTCATTGCTTTTTCACTACTGATGGTTGACAGTTTTATGAATATATAAAGTTCTATTTGTGCATTATGAATAGAAACTTGGATTATTTCTTTTCTTTTTTTCTAGTTATACATAGTACTACTGTAAATAATCTTAGAACTATTTTTCTGTTCAGGAAATTATCTAGAAAGTGCTGGCCAGAAAAACTCCTTGTTATGATGGAAATGGCAGTCTGAGCTAATTAAAGCAGTAGCCACCACCAAAACTACACATGGATACTGAGCATTTGGAAGGCAGATAGTACAACTGAAACACTGAATTTTAAAATTTTATTTTAATTAATCTTAATTTACATATATATAGCCACAAATGAGTAGTAACTACCATATTGGGTAGTACTTAATACGAATACATACAGGAATGGAACTGTTGATCAGTAGTCAAAGAAGACTCTGACAATCTTATGTAATGCCAAATTGTTTTCCCAAACGAATTTCCTAATCCTGTTCCTTCCAGCAAGAGTTCTTTTTGCTCCAGTCCTTAACAGCACCACGTTGGTTGACTGCGGGGACTCTGGGTTGAGCCTAGGAGGCTCTCGTCTCTGCAACTCTCCCTTACTCATATCTGAGATCTGCAGCAGGGAGTGAGATAGTCTCTGGTCTGAGTTGGGAGGTACTGCTTTTAAAGTATTGTGTTGGCTCCCCCACTTAGAGTGATTGGTCCCATGGCACTCAGGAGCAAAAAATTTTACTGAAGAACAGGAAGGGAAACCTACATAAATGTAGCTATATTCCACACCTATCAATAGGAGGATAATATAACAAAGGTGTCAATAATCCCCGGAAATTTAATTCAATTAAACTTTGCTGACAATCATGATAGACTTTTCAGTAGAACTTGAAAAGATGATCCTAAAATTTGTATGTAGGAACAAAGAATTAGTAATAACTAGGATACTCTTGGAAAAGAAATAGGTGGAAGACTTTTCATACCAAATATTAAAATCTATTAAAAATTTTAATACTCAAGACAGCACTGTGTTGTTTTAGGAATAGATCAATAGAATAAATAGCCTGGGAATAAAGACTCACACAAATAATAGAATTGATGTGAAACAGTCAGCATTGCAGATGAATGAGGAAAAGATAAACAAATAAAAACGTTATGCAAAAATAAAATCTAGTTGATTAAGGGATGCACATGGAAGAATGATTTTGAACTTGTGTCTGGGAGAAGTCTTAGGAGGAAGGGAGCTTTTGTGGTAAAATCTGTTGCCTCTTATGCCATTTCCAAACCTAGAGGATAAAAAGGAGATTATGAGATTATCCTATTTTCAGAGAGAGAGAGAGAGAGAGAGAGAGAGAGAGAAGACAGCTTATATTTAGAAAAAGCTTGATATCATACATCAAATTCCAAAGTGCAAAAATATATCATTATGATCATTATCTTTAAGTAGAGCTTCACCAAGATTTCCTTGGAATAGTGAGTTTGCCAATTACATTTTCAATCAAGCTCGTTACAACTACCCTCTTTTCAGAAACACATTTATGACTTGGAGTGAGGCAACTTTTTTACATGTCATAGAAGATTATATTATCTGTATTTTAAGAAGCGTATTTTGTTAGAAAGCTAACAATCTTCTTTGCATGTGCTTCTTAAGTTATAAATGCTAAAAATGAAAATGCCCATCCACCTAGGATATCCTGGGAGTGGAAGACACAGTACATCAACCTGCTCTTAGCATCACTAGAGGTGTTTGACAGCTGTGCTAAGCAACGACACAGAG